AATGCAATAAATGGCTATTAAGAGAACATTGGACAATTACTTCTTACAACATCAAATGACAGTAAATGCCTACTACTTCCGGACCTGGTAGTTTCTAACGAACTGCTAACGGGCTGCCATGTACTGCAAGCGACTACTACTGAAGATTGACTAATATCTTCTGAAAAGGCTTTGAATTTAATAAGCGTCTGTTATATGCTGCAAGTGGTTATTACTGAAAACCGACTAATCCGTGCTAAAAAGCCTTCAAATGTAATAAGCTATCCGGCTATCGGATAATCACTTTTAATAAAATCATTTTACAGCAAATGGCTTCTATTTCCAAACCGAATAGTTTCTAACCAACGAATTGTAAAAAAAGCCTTCACAGGCGATAGGCATCTCTTAGTGAAACACGTCACAACCGCTTCTAATAATATCAGTCAAGCAGTCAATGGCTACTATTTCAGGATCAAATAACCCCTCTTAAGTATATAGCAAAAGATGTAAGTGCTTATTATTCCCGAAAAGGCTAATCAATGGCAATTAATTTTTTAAAGGATTTAAGTGCTTATTTTTAGAAGGCAAGATAATCCTGGCAAAGAAAATCAAATATTATAAATAGTTGTTATGGTTTTACGATGGATCTCATATTTTAAAATCTTTTTTTTTTTTTTATTTTGATTGTATTCACTTTCATCGAATCATTTTCTCATATGAACATATATATAAATATATATACGTATAAACAAACTTCTCTTCTATCTTTCTCTAAAAAAAAAAAAAAAACTGAAACAAGAAAACAGAAAATCATTTAAACTGTTTCCATAAACAAGTAACCAAATAAGTGAATAAAACAGTTCTACATTTTAAATGTTAAGCTCGGAAATACTTGTAAATTATGTTGAATAATCCAAAATAAATAAATTTATAAAAATTATAAGATAAATAAAGTTAGTTAAATATATTTAAAAATTTCGTATATATATATATACACATATATATATATACATAAAAGAATTCGTAAAAATAATAATTACATTATGCATAAAACGAAAAAAAAAAAAAAGAAGAAAATTAAAAAAAAACAAAAACTAATTGATTCCCAAGAAGAAAATGCATTTAATTTTGGGCTTCATAGAACATACATTAAAACAAATGAACCAAAATACAAATAAAATATTCATGAGTACAGTAAAGAATTAAAACAATTTTCAATGTTTATAAAATGAATGAAATAAAAAGCTCTTAACACAATTTAAAATAGCAACAACAAAATATTACATTCGTCTCATGACGAATCTTGAATACCCATCACCTACGGTAAACAAATGTGTATAGTGAAAATCGTCCATGTTGTCGTTAATTAATGGGCATAGTCACGTAAGTCGTTAGTAGAATTTTTTAATTCCACGTACTTACGAGAACATTCCGTGGACTTTAAATTGTTTTAGAAGAGCTGCCCTATTCATAAGTTAAAGGAACAAAACAATTACGATATAATTTACGTAAGAAATTAATAATTGTTGCTTACTTTCGATGAGATCGTGTCCATGACAAAAACCTAATAAGTGTCCAAAGCAAAATGTCGGGATACGCATGATTTCTTCATCGAAGTAAATCTAAATCTTGATTGGGTCAACCAAAGCGACGTAATGAGGTGCCAAGTGGTTGCAAAATCGCAATTATTGGAGAAAAATGTGACCGAGAATCTAATCAATTTTCAAGCTGTACCAATGTACAAACATCGGCATGCAACACACAGAATAAGTTAGGCAGGCAAATACAAAATGACGTCCCTTGGACAGAATAAGTATTCCAAGTCAAGGGAATATATTCTTTACTGCAGGGCTATGTTATGTACTGCAGCGAAGATTAGATTACAATTCACGTAGCGGAAGTTTCCGAACTTCATATCTAGAGTCTGGACGGGTTGCGATACTCAGGGGTGACAACATTTTCTCGAACATCTTAACGTGGGCTGCACTCTGCTTATACATGGAAATCACCATGGTAAGCGCTTTGCATGGATAAAAACGGATTGTCCCCCCATCAAAGTTTTTAATAGAACTACTCGGCTTCATCAGCCGTCTCATCCAAGTTTCCTATAGATGCCCGTATATAGTATAACACTCAACCGGGACTTTTCCTGGTTTGAACGCACTGTCTGCCTTCGGATTCTCCAGTGTAGTTTAGGTCCCAAGCTTGTAGGGATCCTCTAACTCTCTGAAGGGCGCCGACTACGCAAAATTAACCCGTGTGTCATCGGGCACCGCTGGTTTAAACCGACAAGGTAGTGTACCCACGTTAAACCATCAAAGACATATCTATGCCTACGGAACAGCCAGGTTGTCGATGTTTCCATTATCACGTACACAAATGCTTGCCCATCTTTTTTCTTTGTCCGCCCACAATGTTTCTTGATCGCCATTCTTCGCATAAGTTTAGAGAAGAAGAGAAAGTCAATGTCGATTTTCATTTTATAGGATTTTGGCACTTATAAGGTCAAGGATCGCACCCTGTTCAGGTGCTCTATTCCAATATTTGCAAGGGTGAACCTTATAAAATCAAATTGAAAAAACTCGGACGAACGCACCGCTGACGTCCTCTTAAATACATATTCTCGGATTTATAGCCTTCGCGGAAATCTAATACAATTCCACGTCTTGGTGATGGGTATAACGAGCAAAGGCTTACTATAGATATACACACATTGAAAGCGTGTGGAATTATTTAGTATTCATAAGAACTAAGTTCATATTATGTACATACTTACATTTACACAGTCAAGCGAACATTTACACACACACACACATACATACACACATATGCATACAAACTAGCACACATATAAATACGACGGTAAAGAATTTTATTAATATAAATAAAAACTCTAAAAAAAAACAAATTTAATAAACAAAAAGGAAGCTCAATATTTTTTATTTAATCCGGAATTCGTATCTCTGACATAGCTGAATGTCAAGCTGTTATAATGAAAAAAAATGTGGTTAAGAGGTAACATATTTTCCAGAAAATTTACTCAATTATCGGATTTAAGTGCTTGGAAATTATATTAAGAGGCATTCTTATACCCTACACCTCTAGGCACCACTAAGTATCCTACGTCACTTAATACAATTTTCCATATAATGACTTTTC